TCCATACTGAATTTGCACTCCATTATATGCTCACTGTTGAAAATGCCACAGGATCTCACTCTTCTCACTCCTTGTCCCGTCCATCTCACTTTTTGGACAGCGGTGGTGTCAGTCTATATTTGTATGTGGACGTAAACCACTGGGCAGAAGCTACTTCCCAATTAAGAGACCAGACATTCCAGGTGTATGATTTGAAATCGTAATACTTAATTCGTTTGCCATGGTCGTCATCAAAAGGGTTTTTGCACCGCGGGTCCCAAACCCAGTACAAAACCCTCAGGAGGTATTGTTCGCCTTCTTCCTTTAGCCTTCTACCTGATGTTCTTCGGCTACCCACAAATACTTGTACAGAGGCCGGAAGTGTGCTGTTTGAGCCATATAGAATAGTTTCTGGCCACCCCAAAGTGTATGGCGATCGGACAACCTTCCTCACTTGCGAATTTCTACAAATGACTCTTTCTTCCACGTTTGGCTGCGATGTAAGTGATCGATGCCTATAATTAACATAATCATGTCAACAAGTTAGGCACTAATGGAGACCACAGCGTGACACGTGAGTTATTATAATGTTCCGGTCTGTACTGTTGCAAGAATCAGACTGACTCTTTCATCAGATCAGCAATTCAAGTCTGCCCCAATGAGTGAGTGTACCGCTCGTTCCAACAGACTTAAGCTGGCAGACAGACTGGCTGATCATGCGATGTGGTGCACAACTGCATGCCATCAGTTGACTTAAGCTGAGATGTAAGTCCCCCAGAATCACTCTGAGAAGTCTTCTGACTCCTTTTGTTTATTATTTTCAAGCATAACTTTTAATTTTTTTGTTTACATAAGTAAATAATAATAATTATACTTATTAGTATTATNTTACATAAGTAAATAATAATAATTATACTTATTAGTATTATTATAATTAATGAGGCACTTATGCCACAAGATACATTTTTGTGATGCTTTAGATCTTCTATTTCTTTAATGTTCTTAAAATGATTTAGTACAATATCGTCAAAGTTTATTTTTGACTCATAAGATAAATACGTAGGATGTATCAGTTTATCAATAAATTTAGTTTTGTTGTTACTAAAATTTTCATCGTTAATTTTAATTTCACATTTTGCAAAATTTATTGCATAATTATTTTGCAGTATAAAATTTCTGTCATCACAATTTTGAATAAGCCTCAAATTATTTGCATTCTTGATGATTAAAGTATCATCACTTATTTCTTGTATTATTTGTCGTATTTTTATATTTAAATTCATAAACGTTAAAAAAATACAATTCTTACTTAATTTTATTTTTTTTTGGGAAGACTTTAGTATACCGTCCCAGGATTTCGAGAATAAAWTGGGTATGGTCGGATAGAGGAGATTCTCCAGATCACGAATATATATAGCCGCAGGAAGCTTATAGTTTTCGAGATATTCGCGAWTAAAGTTGAAATTTTGCAATATTTTAATTACATATTTCTGGTATTTAAAATTAATTTTTCACTTAAATTTTTCAATTTTATATACACTAACACATCCCTTATTCATTTGCACACATTTATTTTATATAATATAGTGCATTTAATGTACATAAGCCGACCCGGAGATTTTTACTGACCGGAGATTTTTACTGTAACAGTTATTATGATGATATTATTTGAAAATATTATTATTGATATTATTATGAAATAAAACTGTCATCCCGTTTTTGTAAATCATTGCGTTTTAAAATCTTTCCGGAGTGCAAGTGAAAAAGTAAGTGCTAGTATTAAATAATATATGTTCACTTTGTTTCATAATATTTACGAAATTTATGTAAAATTTATTTTTAACTTTTTCGTGTTTGAGTTGCTTAAAAAATATAAAAAAGCGACAATCGATTAATATCTATGATGATCTCTATTCAGTACATTCAAAATGACAGACAAGAGCTCTTTTTAGTTTTGTGACCTGCTAACTACCAGGTCTCAAATTTGAGGCAATATTTTGAGACTAACGCAAGAGACTGTTTAGTGAATAGTATCTAGTCACAAATTGAGATTTTACCTCAAAATGTCTCAATGAAGAGATTAGAGACTGGTTACAGAATCCCGTTATCAATTGAGGAATTGCCCTATTTTCGTGGAAAATTTAAGGTGTTAATTGCAATAGTCATTATAGGGCTTTTTTCAATCTAGGTTAAATTTTCTACTTACACCTCGACCCATCAGTTTATTAACGATTTATATAGTAATTTGCATTTATTGATAATATTATCTGTTTACTCAAAAACTGAATAATTACATTTTCCCTGTTATTATAAATTGATAATAATACTATATATCGTGATATAGTTGCGGGTTTATTTATGGGTGTATATTCTTAACACATTTTTACTTATTTGTCACAACTAATTAAATGCCATTCTTTACTATTTCCACAAAGCACATGTTTGTTGACCGACCAGAGTTATTTTTTTTTTGAAGAGCGGCCGAAGGCCTCCCACGCAGAAAGGAGTTCTACGCGAAAAAATCTGATACACCCCAGTGTTGGACCGACCAGAGTTATTCTTTTATAGGTTGTTGATTCTCGTATTTGGGGTATAATCTTTATTTCATTTAGTTATTTTACAAACGATGTCGATAAGGTAACACTGATTATTTGACAGTTTGTAATTCATTTGTTATTCTAAACAATAATATTTCAACAATAATTTAAATGTACACTAAAAGCGATTTTTGCACTATATTATATAAAATAATTGTGTGCAAATGAATAATTGATGTGTTAGTGTATATAAAATTGAAAAATTTAAGTGAAAAATTAATTTTAAATACCGGAAATATGTAATTAAATATTGCAAAATTTCAACTTTAATCGCGAATATCTCGAAAACTATAAGCTTCCTGCGGCTATAACCATATATATTCGTGATCTGGAGAATCTCCTCTATCCGACCGTACCCATTTTATTACCGAAATTCTGGGACGGTATACTAAAGCCGACCCTTTTTTTAAATAACGTATTATCCTTATATTTATAATGTTTTTTATTTATTGTTACAATTTTTTCATCCTCTTGAGCTATTTGCAATTTTCGTTTGTTTAGTAGAGACATAATTAATTTTACATATACTTTAAAAAAAATTTTGGTATTTGAGTAGCAAACACAAGTGCTTCATTTTTGAAAACAACTACTCCTACTTTGGCTAGTTTCAGCTTATACAAATCTACTATATGTCGAAACTATCTATTTCCTCTTTTGTTAACGTCCCCGGATGTATTAAATTTTTTTTAGCGGCGGCTATATTATTTTGAATTTCAAGTATCTTTCCTTCAACATGTCTTCATTTATTCATTTGATCATTGTAAAGAACCAATTTTGCTAGCTCTCTATCCTCCTTTTGCATCTGATTTGATTCCTTTAAAAATTTACTCCTATCATTTTTTACTATTGTTTTCATTAAATTAATTGTAATTGAATCATTAAAATTCTCATTTATGATAATCTGCTTATTGCTATTTGTTATTGCATTGTGCGAATTTCCCTCTTTTACTTCTAAATGATTAATTATATCCTGTCGTTCCGCCTCGTCCATTACCCTGAACAACCAGTTATACATTGTCCCTCCTAAATTAATTTAACCTCTCTTCTTTCTTCTCTCTTCCTTGGGAGTAATCGATCTAATTTTTGCTTTAATTACTTTAATGCAGTTAAAAAGAAGTGCCTTATTACTTAGGTCTGTTTTCTATCATTTCCTTCACCAAACTTGATGTATAGTATGTAGTATTGTATTTACTTCGTCAACGATCGTCTACTTCGCCGAGTTGGATCATAGCGCATCTGCTTGCTTCTTCAACTATCGGTGACACTTGTAGGAATGCTGTAGCCATTTTCATGGCGGTCATCAGACACATTATTATCCACATCGTCTGATAATATGTTGACTCGTGAATTAACACTTTCAAATATATTGCCATTAAGTACTATTGTGCTTAAACTATCATCTTCCTTTTCAGTACCTACTCTACCTAATATAAGTGGTCTTTTTATGTTTGCTACATGAATGTCTTGGAAGGGGGTGATTCGGAAATATGTTTTGTCTTTGTGTTTTACTCTTTTATAATTTTTTATCGGCCCCGTCGATCTCAGTTCTTCGTAGTCTTGTCTGCACCTATTTCTATTGTGTATTATGTGTTGTTTCTTCTAGTCTATTGTGTTTTTTAAAATAGTTGGTTACCTATAACGATATGTATCCTCATTTCTGTTGAGAGGGTTGGATCCTCAATTCCTGTTAGTTTTTTTAGCAAGGTTGAGTGCCTCTCAATGTCTGCATTACCTGTGTGGGAGTTTGGTTTTGTCAAGTGTACTTCACCTTCTTCTGTATTTAAGAACTTCTTCTTTGGTTTCCCAAATTTCCAGCTTAAGTGTATTATAAGTCTCGTTTATTCCGCTATGCATTGACTCATTACTATGGCAAAGTGAAATCTGTTTATGCAGGTCTTCTCCTTTTATAATTTATTTTGCTCTATTTGTACATTTTATGAATTGCAATTTGCTATTGTAAGATAACATGCTTATAAGTAATAGCTGAATTTGGTGATAAACGGCCTCCTCCTCTTCGGAGAAAATATCCACTTTGCCCCTGCCAATATATCTTCGGAAAATATTTTTCAATATGTTCTCCGTGGCAATAGAGGTGATCTCGATTTGGGTCTTATACTTGTTGACAATTTCTTCTTTCATGAAATGTTCTAATAGTTCCTCTTCTGCGGAATGTATTGTATCTGACATTTCTAAATTGGATCCTTTATCATTGGTTTCGTTGATTGTTGGAGAGTTTACAATTTGGCTTAAAATAATTTGCTACTACATTATTTTTCCCTTTCTGACATTTTTTAAAAAAACCAACTTTCAGTTTCTTTATATTTATTTAAAGATAATGAAGTAAACACAAGTATAACATTTAAAGAAAAACATTATTCCAACAAACAAATCAAACAAAATGAAAACCAAAAATTACGTGTAACAAAAAATTAAACACTATTCCAATACGGTTCTAGGTATATAATAACATATGAGTTTAATTGTATTACTAACAAAATATTTGTTTTGCTTTTTTTTTTATTATACTGCGACAAATTGGACACAATGTTTGTACGCCCTTTAATTTGCCATTTTCTTTCATTTTTTGAAAGCATGTTTGACAAAGTTTATAATGATGACATGTGTCGAACAAGAGTTCCCTTTCCCTTTCGCAGCAAATTACGCATAACAATGTCATATTTTGTTGCGTTTGTAAATGATCTTTACAATTTTCATCTTCATTACTGTCGATGTCGTCGTCGTCTTTATAATCATCATCGGAACTATGGATTTTATTGACGAATTTTTCTGCAAGTATGCAGTTTTCCATCCTGACTGAGAATTTCCATCAAAGATATTTTATTGTTTTTTAATAAGTCTAGCCGTTTTAAATAAATTTGTCGCGAACTCCATTGCCGAATGTTTTTGATCTATATAGATTCGTACAACCAGAAATAGATTTTCAATAATCCATGGATTTTACAAATTCTAATTCGAAAAGGGTTTCTAGGAAGTTGTAAAACGTGCCTCGCTTTGGAAGTTTCATATTCAATTTGACATGGAAACCTTCAGCAGAATTACTTGTCCTGACAGGTTCTTTATACACTGAAAAGTTTACAGGGTTTTCCTAAAACAATAAAATTTCATAAAATTATATATGTATATGTAATTTAGTTTTCTCTAAATTTTTTCATCCATTGTCGCTCGAAGAAATTTATAAATAGTTTAAAGAAGTTTTCTGTATTATTTGATGGATTAACAAATTTTACATCCATAGCATCTTGTTTTAAAATGCTATATGCTTCTATAATATTAGCCGGTTTCAATAATGGTAGATACATAAATTTGGGAAATAGGTTTTTGGCATTTTTATCTCTGTTGAATTTAGGAATTTGTGTATCTTTCCGTCGAAGAGCATTCGTGTAGTGAAACCAACATTCAACCGTTTTTACTGTTGGGTATACTCTTTTAAAAGCATTACGTAAACTGCATTCAAAATCAGTGATTACTGACGTCGGCTTCAAATCGATGACATTTGATTGCAAATATTGCAAAAAATTTTTATATGCAGATTCTGACTTATGAGACATTAAAATAAATATGAACGGATATGCCTGAAAAATAATGAAAAATTATCGAGTTATTTAAAGATAAATAATAAATTTTAATTTTAGAGTTCTTACATGGTCTGCGTGAATAATGTGAATTATGAGCAATTGCTTATATTTGTTTGAAATAGGTACTATTTTAAATGTTCCATCAACTATATAATTACATTGTTCCATGTGGTTCCTTCCTTTAATGGCATTAGAAATGGTAGGATACACAAATAATGAATAGGCAAAATTTTCTTCTACTATAGTGTCAATATAAAGTTTGTCATTTTCCTCATATCTGGACATTATGAATTTTGATGCAATTTCTTTATTTTTATAAACTTCAATAATTTCTTCAAAAGTCATCGGAGTTTTTGGATATTTTTCTTGTTTTATATGAATCAAATGCCTACGCATTTACCCGAACTGCACTGAATGTAATGTTTCCTTATATTTTTTACATTGTGCATCAAATATATCTCGCGCACTTGAACGTTTTAATGATGCACTCATCACTTCAGTTTTTATCGAATTTATTAATTTAAAATTTTCAATTAAGGCACTTTGTGTGGGGAATGTGGCCGTTCTTGACACTTTTCTCTGTTTTACGGCAAAATCTTGTGCTATTAAATTCAATGGCAACTGCAGTTGAACAGTTATCCACCTAACAATAATAATATTTAACATTTTTATTCATATATTTATATTTGAGAATTTGATTTTCTTTTCCAATTAATAATAAAGAACTGTTTTTAATAAAACCTGGAATCAACTTATATTCAATTATTTCTTGATTTTCCATTTTAATTAAAGCACAAAATACGTGGATTATGAAAATACGCAATTTGACAATATGCAATATGATGCGCGGAACACAATGCTCGCGACAGACTGCAGCAGCACGACAGTCAACTGAAAATGGCGTTGTGAATCCTACTACAAGAACGTTTGTGAGAGGGCAGCAACATAACAATGGCCGGCATGTACACAAAACAACTCAGTTGTCCATTTTGCATGTACACAATTTCGTTGTGGCCATACTAATACCTTGCACTTCAATGAAATTTTGATATTTTGTTCAAAGTGAAATGTAAATAGGTAAATTTGTTTGTTTTAAATTATCAATTGTTATTATAAATGATGTAACAGAGCTATTTTATGCTTTTATTTGTAAAATAACGTCAGTTTTGTTAGAGCTTTGAGTAATTTTACATTTTACATATTAGTGGCATCACCACTCTACCTCATCTCTCTATCTTCCATTCTACTGTCAACTCTATTGTCGTCCTACTGCCGTTGTCAAATATAGGATAAAAGTTACCGAGAACGACAACTGTCGACCTACCGTCGTGTAGTCGTGCAGCTGTCAAAATAGGTCCGTCCATAAGAACGTGTATATTTTAATACTTGACAGATGTCGTTTGCAGTCTGTCGCGAGCATTGTATTCCACACAAGACATTGATTAAGAAAGTTGCCAGGTGCAATGAATAACAATTTACATATTCACAATGAAAAATAAATTCATATGAGAGATAAGGCCATATGGCTTCAACTCACAATTGACAAAAAAAAAACAAAAAAAAAAATAAATAAATAAATAAAAATGGCATTATCTCTCAATGCGAAGCGTGATAACGCCATATGGCTTTACCTCGCAATTGGATGGGAGATAGATCCATAGGGCGTTATCTCGCATGGCTTTATCGCACCCCACCTGTGAAAATTCCCTTCCTTTATATTTATTATATAAAAATACTATTGGGCAATGATCAGTTATAATTTTATTTTGTGCCATATATGTACGGTCTGAAATAGGTTATTTAATATACAATGGCCATAAATTCTCTATCTGTTTAAGCATATTTCTGTTCATGGTTATTTAATGTTCTGCTAACTGGCTGACCTTGTTGAGAAAGCACTTCGCCTATTGCGTAATCACTTGCATCAGTTGTAATAGTAAACTCCTTATCACATTCATGGAATTTCAAAATTGGATGTGATGAAATTAGTGTTTTCAAATTTTCAAAACGAGCTATGTACTGCGGATCTCTTGGATTTATTTTATAACCTTTTTTTTTAGTATTTAATTATTGGGTATGCAATTTTTGAGTAGTCCCTAATGAACTTTCTATATTAACCAGTGGCTTTCAAGAAACTTTTTAATTGTTTTTCAGTTCTAGGTGTTTTCAAATTTTGTATTGCTGCTATCTTGTCCTGATTTAGCTTAATCCCCTCTTTTGTTAAGGTATGCCCCAAAAATTTTGTTTCCCTTTTTATAAAACTACATTTATCGACATGAATTTTTAAATTACGTTAGAAGATTAATACGTCGTCCAAATAAACGACACATATCTTATTTATGTATTCTCATTATATGAAATTCATTAGTCGTTGAAATGTAGCATTTTTTAGTTCGAACGGCATGCTTATCTATTCGTATAATCCCACCGGAGATACAAAAGCTGTTCAATATCTTTTTTTTTAATATCCTTTTTTTCCATCAAAATTTGATGGTAACCTTTTGCTAGATCAAGAGTGCCTTGCCCAACTTGTCTAAGATTTCATCAATATTTGGCAAAGGATATTCACCATCGACAGTTATTTGATTTAGTCTACGGTAATCGATTAATATGATAATAGGTGAACTATATTTACTTCTTCTTCTTCTTGATTGGCGTAGACACCGCTTACGCGGTTATAGCCGAGTTAACAACAGCGCGCCAGTCGTTTCTCATTTTCGCTACGTGGCGCCAATTAGATATTCCAAGTGAAGCCAGSTCCTTCTCCACTTGGTCCTTCCAACGGAGTGGAGGTCTTCCTCTTCCTCTGCTTCCCCCGGCGGTTACTGCGTCGAATACTTTCAGAGCTGGAGCGTTTTCGTCCATCCGGACAACATGACCGAGTCAGCGTAGCC